TTTTTTTTTTCTTTTTTTTTTCACCCTTGGCTATGTCTGTCTTCAACTTCGTTGTCCCTCCTTCCTCCTTCCTCAGGTTTGTCTTCCTCTTCCTCTCCGGTCTCTCCTCCCTTCTCCACTTCTCCTTCCTTCGTCAACCCCGTGTCCCAGCTCTGCGGTATGGCCGCCACTCCCTTCTTCGTCGAACTGCACTGTATCACTCAACTCTCTCTCTCTCTCTCTCTGGTGATGTCTTCAGCGCAGGTGCGTAGCCAACCAATCTTGTATCGCTCAGTTGTCTCTCTCTCTCTCTCTCTCTCTCTCTCTCTCTCTCTCTCTCTCTCTCTCTGTGTCTTCTTCGTCGTTGTCTTCCTGGCAAGTACGCGGCACCTCCTTCCGCAGCGGAGCTATGCAGACTACTTCTTCACGGTGGCGCTCTTCAACTGTGGCGCCCTATGGCGCGCGTCTCTCTCCTGCTGCAACGACGATGGCGCATCGGATAGCGGGTACCAGCTCCGATACCAGTGCAATCAGACTCGCTTTCATTCACACTCCGCATGCATGCAAAGAGGTTGTGCAGCAAACTGGCGTCAAGCGCCCACTCAAAACTCAGAGATATAGTACCAAGAACGCAGCTCAGATACAAGTTCACTTCAGACGGCTATGGCGGCACATTGCCTGTACAACTCTCTATTCGCCGCTTACTCAACACTGCTGTTCGCACACAGGATCACCCTGGATATCCCACATGCAACACCCTGTACACTCACACACACCCGCATACACCTACAGCTATGGCGGCTATGGCCGCTGCTACCCTATCGCTATGGCTAACTTCCTTCTCGCCCTCTTCGTCCTCGGGCTCAGTGCAGACCACCTCGCACAAGTCGCTATGGCAGCGCTTCCGCATGGCTCACGCAGGAATGAATCCATGGCTGGTCGCTGCCTCTCAATTTATACTTCTGTAGCTCTTTGGTCTGGCCCTTTCCCATGCCCGTGGCGCCCACAGTCCCATACGTTACTTGCTGGACTGAACTAGGACTGACTGGGACTGGGACTGCTGACTTAGCACGGGGAGACTCCACCACTTGCCCACTTGCCTTTGTCTCAAACATGTGCAGCTTCGAAAGGCCACTTCCGGACCTTCTGGAAGTTTGTGGACTTGGCCTTTCGAGCACTGTAGCAGCTAGGACCTTGACCTCTCAGGACTGTAGCAGCTACGACCTTGACCTTTCAGGATCCCTACAGCTACGACCTCTACAGGGCTGTGACTCCTACTCGATAGACCTACAGATCGAACCCCTACCACTACACAGACCTACGACACACAACAACAACTGTCAAAACACATGTCACGGGTTCAAACACTCGGGGTCGACACCGTCACATGCACAGATATGCAATGTACGTAATAAACCGAGAGTCTGCAATGTGATGAAAAGGACTGGATAGAGAATGCAGTACGAGTAGAATCTCGACAAGCAATGTACATTCTCATTCAGACATAAAGATGCTGAAGAGCGCAGGGAAGACTTTGATACAAAGACTGACCTGCCAGGACTGACCTCATTCAGGTGAAGAAGCAGAATGCTAGAGTGCTACGAATTAGCCCAATCAATGTTTGAGCTCAGACTAAACATGCATTGTATCCATCACCGAGTGTGAAGGAGCCTGGCCCTGCACACAGGAAGAAAGCGCCAGGTCCAGACATACACAGACGAAGAGATAAGGATCAGACGAAAGGAGGGAGGAAGATGGGAATGTCGTTAACACCAAGTCTTGGTCACCAATCCCAAATAGTCCCTCGTTGCCATGTCTGAACCCCCGAAAGTCGAGTCTGGATCAAATGTCACCAAGCTCTGTATCTCTTCTCTCATAGTCTGCAGATGCAGTGAAGTCAGAAGTGAGAGGGAGAGAAGAGATGGTGGACTGAGAAGAAGAAGAAGAACTCTCTCTCTTTCTCTGTTACGAACCAGGTACTAACCTGTGATGTTGGCGCTGTGCTGCAGGTACCTCGAAGACGAATCTGGAGCAACGGCGCTGCAGGTAGGTATCTCTGGCCTCCGCCCAAGCTCTCTCTCTCTCTCTCTCTCTAGTACTACCTAGCTATGGCGCCCAGCACTGGAGACTACAGCTACCAACTGCGCCCTGCGCTGAAGACTACTAACTAACGCTACAACTACTACTACGCAGCGCTCCCTCCAGAGTGCTGCTCCCGAATCCTGAAGACTACAACTGCCAACTGCCTACCTCGGAAGTGCCTGGGAAGTCCTATGTACTACCTCGGCTTGCCTCCTGACTACTGGAGGCCAGTCAGGCTGAGGAGGCAGCTCTTGCCAATGCCGAAGTGTGCCAGGGGCTGGCATGCAGCAGCCTGCTTGAGGCTGGCGTGGGAAACAGACTAATAATAGTCTGTTTCCGAAACCCTGGTTCGGTGCCTGAGTTTCAGGGCAGGTCGTTCTGATGAACGACCGAAAATGGCCCTTCGTTTCAGGCTAAAAAGGCTGTTGCCATTTTTAGTCTGAAACGACCAGGGATAGGCCCTGAACTTCAGGCTTTCGTGCTGAGCCGACAGGGGGCCTGTAAGCCCTGGATTTCAGGCTTTCGGCCTGCAATTCAGGCTTTCGGCCTTTGGCCTGAACACCGTCGGGCCTGCAAAATGGCCCGTGTGTGCACGCGCTGCATGTAACACCCCCCCTTCCTTATGAAGTCAAGTCGGGGCGAGGGCAAAGCCGTCGATCTGAAGGTTGAACCTGGACGCGGGCGCGGCGGGGAGCCGAGGAAACCGGCTTGCCTTGCATCTTGCATTCGTAGCGTGCGAGAACGTCTGGGGCTGTCGCTTGCAGTTCCGCACGGGTTAACCAACGGTCAGCTCGATGTGTGCAGTAGGCAAAATGCACCAAATACTCAGTTGGCTTGTTGCCAAAKCGTCGCTGGGAGATGATGTCGCCGACCTCCTGAAAACCATCCATAGAAGGTGGGTCTTGCGTCCGTCTCCCGGGAAAGTCGTCATGATCCGCTCGCGTGTAGAGAGCCAGTTTGGAGCAATGAAAGACTGGGTAGACAGGCAAGTGGCTAGGCACCTGAATCATGAAGGAGGGTCCTTCGGATGCGTCCCCAGCAGGCTCTATGATCGGCCAAGGCCCCATCCATTTCGGGAGGAGCTTGTGAGAGACGTCTTGTTCAAGGCTGAATTCCGCTGCTGAAACCCAGACGAGGTCCCCGACGCGGAATGGACAAGGAAGACGCTGGCGATTTGCCTACTGGCTCATGCGCTGCTGTGTCTTAGCCATCTGGTCGCGTGCCTTGACAAGAAGCTCTTGCATCCGACGCAAGAAGAGAAGATGGTCGTCGCTCTCGGTCGTGCGTGGAGTAATAGTGTCCAACGGTGATGTGACCGGCGAGCCACAAACTCGAAGGGCGATAACCCAATAGCCGGGTGGATGGAAGAGTTGTACAACTCAACATCCGACACTCGCTCAACCCAGTCTTTCTGGTCGGGGCGGATGAGAGTGCGAAGGAGAACCTGTGCGGTCTGATGCGCCCTCTCCGTCCGGCCATCGGTCTGAGGGTGGCGAGCTGAACTAGGCTTGAGAGATGAGCCCCATCGCTTGATGAGCGCCAACCAAAAATCGGACATGAACCGAGCGTCGCGGACGCAGACGATCTCCTTAGGGTAACCCTTGGTGCGAATCCAACCGGCATAAAGAACCTCGGCCAACTCCGGTGCCTTGGCATGATAGCGACAAGGCAAAAACATGGCGAACTTGGTGAGTCGGTCGACCATCGTGAGAATCCCATCCACTCCGGTCTTGTGCTTGGGGAACGGGCCGGTGATGTCCATGGCAATCGCTTCCCTTCGCCTCAACGGGACTGGCAATGGTCGTAACTCGCCGTACGGACGATGGTTGCGGGATTTGCAGCGTCGGCAAACCTCGCATGACTCGCAATAGCGCGTGACGTCGCCGAGAAGGCCGGGCCACCAAAATCGCTGGCGAAGTCGGCCAATCGTGCGATTGACTCCAAAATGTCCAGTGGAGGGAGCGTCGTGGAACTCGCCAAGAAGCCGTGTACGCAAGTGAGGATCACTCGGTACGCAAAGGTCCTTCCCCCACGTGTGGACAAGCAAGTACCCCTCTTGGATCCGGTAGTGAGAAGGAGCCGGATTAGGAGAGGAGCAATTCGCGTACTTGTCGCGAAACTCGGGGTCGGCTTGGTAGCCGCGGATGAAGCTGTTCCGCAGGTCGTCGTCAATCTCGAACGTCGAGTAGACTGCGGTACAATGATCCGGACGCCGTAAGAGAGCATTCGCAAAACGGTTCGACTTCCCGGGAATGTGATCAGGAAAGAAGTCGAACTGGTCGATGAAAGTCATCCATCGAGCGATGGTGATGTTGACGGTGTCTTGGGTCTTGTAGAAGACCAACGGATTGTTGTCCGTTACCCATCGAAATTGGCTTCGACCAAGGAGGAAGTGCCGCCACCGCTTGAGCGCGTGGACGAAGGCAAGGAGCTCCTTCTTGCGTGCATCGTCAATGGATGCATGAGGGGCACTTTCTTGCTGAAGTACTCGACCGGGTGCCAGTCCACACCATCATGTTGCTCGAGGACTGCACCAATGCCATAGCCTAACGCATCCGTAATGACACGCGTAGGCGCGAGCGGGTCGTAGATTCGCAAGACCTCCGCAGACAATAGCGCGGCTTTGAGAGCGAAGAATGATCCTCGCGCCTCCTCTCTGAAGTCAAACGGCCGATCCTCGCACTGAAGCTTGTTCAAGTGGGCCGCGATCTTGGAGTAGCCTTTGATGAAACACTGATAGTAGCCGGTAAGACCGAGGAACGAGTGGAGATTTGTGACGTCCCGAGGCTCCGACCACTCTTGGACGGCCTGAATCTTGTCCGATAGCGGACTGATGCCCTCCGGTGTGACAAAATGGCCCAAGTATTCCAGCTCTTGCCGGACAAATTCGCACTTGTCGCGGTTGGCCTTGTACTTGGCATGGCGGAGCGTCTCCAACACTCGTCGAAGATGTCCAAGATGATCCTCCAATGTCCGGCTGTAGACGAGAATATCGTCCAAGTAAACCAGCACGAACCGGTCCAACATTGCACGAAACTCATCGGTCATCGCCGCCTGGAACGTCGTCGGGGCGTTGGTGAGGCCAAAAGGCATGACCACCCACTCAAAATGCCCGTGCCGAGTCTTGAATGCGGTTTTGTAGCGATCGTTCGGCTGAATCGAGATTTGGTGATATCCTGATTTCAAATCCAACTTGGAAAAATACTTCGCACCGCCCAGCCGCTCGAGAAGATCGTCGATGCAAGGGAGAGGCCCCGCATTCTTGACGGTTTGCGCGTTGAGCTTGCGGTAGTCGATACATAATCGTAGATCCTTGTTCTTCTTCCTGACGAAGAGAACTGGTGCTCCATATGGGGAGCTACTCGGGCGGATCCAGCCCTTGGCGAACAAATCATCGAGTTGTGCGCGGAGGACCTCAAGCTCCTCCTCGCTCATCCGATAGATGCAACCTTTCGGCGGCACGGCACCGGCCTCAAGAATGATCTCGTGAGAGATCGGCCGACCCGGCACCACACCGGTAGGTGACTCGAAGATGTCGGCGAACTCGTCCAGCAACCATACCACACGGGGGTCCGAAGACAAGTCTGTGGGTGAAGAGTCGGCTACCGCCGTAGGAAACATAGGCCGATCTCCTCGGGCTGCTCGTAAGCGCAAGTCGCCCGGAATGATTTGGCCGTCACCACTTGGCACCGGATCGAAGAGTGCGGTAGAGAAATAGTACACGCCACTTCTGCGTCGAAGGCGTCGTGAACGCTAAGAGTCCGCCGATGGAAGTTGACCGTGTGATCCGCGCTTGCGAGCCAAGGCATTCCTAGAATGATGTCGAAGTCCGTGTCGAGAATATCGAATGTTACCGGTTCGCATGCATGAGGTGCGAAGTAGACCGGTACGGCCTCGATGTAACGGTTGAGAAGTTGTTTCATCTTACCATCCGCCAATTTGATCGCCGTCGGGTTCCTCCGAACTTGTGTGCCAAGGCCAGCTCTTTGCATAAAAGACTGGCTCATGAAGTTGCGAGACGCGCCGCTATCCAGCAAAGCGCTGCAGGACGCTTGCCCAACCTGGATGCGCACATACATGAGCGGTGCATTGTTGTTATCGTACCGCTGCGTGCGAAACTCGCGGGCCACCTTGGTAGTATATGCCAGGATGTCCCCCACCGCGACTTCGTCATCCGTCGGCGAAGTTGGTGGTGCATAGAAGGAAAGGTAAGTGTGGAGATGAGCGCTAAGTGCTGCGCATTGCGGTCCCGGCAAACAGCCGGTATCAACTGAAAAAAAGAGCACACTTCGTACGAAAACAAGACAACACCGAAGGAAAATCATGTTTTTTTGTCATCAAAGAATAGTGAGTAACCGAGTTTACCACAAATATACCGTCCCAGAGATGGAGCCACCAACGGTTAGCATACGGAAAAATTGGAAATATCTCACGTCAAAATTTGGATGTCACAATCTGGTGCCACTTGAAGCAAAGATGCAACGAAGGAGTGGAGGATTCATTCTGAGCAGGACATAATGCCTGGTGTGGAGTACTTGTAGCTGGTGAAAGAAAACAAAGCAAAGTGGATCACCAAACCGAGGAAAAAGCTCATGAAGGCCTACATACTGTGACCATTACCAGAAGAAACAGCCAAGGATAACACGGATGGACCGCAGATCGACGGGTATATTTATTTGAACTAGTTCTCTATATGGACATTTTGTGTACCAGTTTGGAGCATAGGGCCCACAGCCCTGATTACTTGCATCTGTCACTGCAAAGGAGATTGAAAACTCGTTCGCTCTTCCTTTTCTTTTCTAATTTGGCACACTCCTAGCTTGTGTGCATCAAAGGCCATGTTAATTTTCCCTTTTGTAGCATTGGACGAAATTCGGGCCAAGGTGTCCAATTCATTCAAGGTTTCAAGTTGTATGCTGGTCTGCAGACTTTCACTGAACCTCACCACTCCCTTGTGAGCGATGACACAGTTAGGAATCTATCTTACCTGTCCATCCCAGAGAGGCTCATGTAGTCGTCTGCCTCATCCGCGACATGTCGTGCCGGTGGTGGAGTCTCTCCTCGAGGAATAATCATATCAGGCTCCGAATACACAACAAATCGATGAGTCAACAGCTCTGCAGCTGATGGCCGTTCTGCTGGGTTGTTCTTTAGGCATTGCCTGATGAAGTCGTCAGCTTCTGCTGACAAATGTGGAGGAATCGGCGGAATCTCTCCATTCCTAATCTTGAACATAAAAGTATACTGTTCGCATTAAGACCAAACACGCAACAAAGTACCCAAAACAACCTTGCATTAATTTAAGATGATTCAGGGAAGCCAGGGAAATACACCACTTCTGTAGACTGCATCTGCAAAAGAAAAAGAAAAGTCGGTGTGTACCGATCGTCACAAGATTTCCAAACATAAAGAGCAAGACCACTGATGTGGGCTCTCTCAACTGCAGAGCCCCCTTCAGTGAATCAACAAGCAAGCAGCCAATGGCAAGTCACAAAGCACGGTTGCGGGTGTCAATGAGAGAAGAACAGCACGTGCCAATGGGTGCGCAAACACCTAAAATAACAAACCAAGGCTACAATGGCAATGTTCAACCCATTTCTTCATCCGACTCTCTCTCTCTCTCTCTCTCTCTCTCTCTCTCTCTCTCTCTCTCTCTCTCTCTCTTTCTCTGTGCCAATAACTTGTGTGCGGGCGAGTGTGTTGCAAGGAATGGGGCAGTGTCGGTTCCAATTTGTGAACAGCCATGTCACACCTCGGTCTGTCAACGACATACTGCACTTCCCCGGTCAGCCGCTTCATGTCGCAATCAACGCTTCTTTTCTGCAACGCTACAGTGGTGAGTACATTAGACGCATTCAGAAAGTACTCCAAAGCACCACCCTGCAAACAAAGCAGCCGACCTGAAGTGCCCTTCTTGCCAGATGATGGCTGATTGGGTTTGTGGTTGGGTTGACCTGAAAGGGTTTCACACATTTCTGCCTCTGTACAAGAGCTTGGAGGCTGCATCAATTGAGTCCCAGGACTGGTCCCAGAATTCCCAAGATTCCACGTCCCATGTAACATAGGCCAACCAATAAGCCCTTTCTGCCTCTGTACGACAGCCTGGAGGCTGCAGCAATTAAGCCCCAGGTCTGGTCCCAGAATTCCCAAGATTCCACGTCCCATGTAGCACAGGCCAACCAATAAGCCCTTACCTGCTATCCCTGCTGTGGGGCCCAGTCAGTCTGTAGAAGTCTACGGTACCCCGTAGAAGTCCCGTCTCCAACAAAAGTCCCAGTCCCAAAAAAAGCAGCAGATCCAAAAAATCAGAGTTTGTGAGCTGCATTACGTACAAAAGGTCCGCTACAGTGAACGGGCACACACTTCCCCATTCTGTTGGTTGCGGAAGTGCTGCTGTTTGCTTGCATGACCAACTTCAAAGTGCGCCATGGCTGGAAACGTACGCCTGTCACTGCCATAGAGACACGGATATGACTCATAATGCCCATGCAAATTCCAAGGCTGAGCTCACAGTAAGACTTCCCTGGACAATCAATGTGCCTACCTCAGTTGGTACAGACATGAACTGTTGAAATACAGACCTGAGATCCAATAGTTCTGAATCACCTGGGGCCAGTCAGTCCGACAATAATATCTCAAGGACATTGTCCTTTAGAAAAAACAAGTGGACCCCCCGCGGCTACGGCTGTGGTGCAGTGGATGAGGAAGGCAAGGAGGGAACATGTTCCAGTTTGAATCTGTTCACATGCTCGAGTTCGTGTTTCTGGAGAAGGGAGATGCAGGAGACACACAGACAGTGTCAAGGGCGGGGCCATCAGAAAAGAGAGGGCAAAGCAACACACACGTTATTATGGTCTCTCTCTCTCTGTGTAATAAACTCACTTCAAATCCGCACAGTTGCGGGCAAGGGTCATAAGATTTGGTCATAGCCTAGACAGAGGGCTTAAAAGTCACATCCCGAGTCTGAGAAAAGTCTGAGAACGGGCCTAAGGTCAAGGGGTATCAAGGCCTGAGCCAAATGCTGTGCTAGGGACCCCCAGGTCAGGCAGTTGACTCTTGGAAAATTAAGAGTCAAGGTCAGCACGGGAAAAGCAGGCCCAAAGTCAAATCAACCCAGTAGTCCACCACGGCCGTAGATCAGATGCATATCAATGGTTGTCTGCAGGTATCCAGAAGATTCCAATTCCAACTGGGATACAGTACTACTGCCTCGGGCCGTCGAGATTTGGGAAATCTGGACCGTCAACAGAGTCAAAGGAGGGACTGATCAGCGCCAGTCAATGTGAGTCAACACTACATATATGGGACAATCAGACCACTGGGGAGAACATTCTTCCTTGCGACTGGCTCGTGGCCAAGTGCTGGAGTTTATGCTGGCGCCAGATGCTGCTGGTGGGCACCAGCCTGGAGGGAGATTATGTCGGCGTGGCCATAGCCGCCATAGCTGTAGACGTAGGTGATGAGGATTGGGCAAGGAGGAGGGGTATCAGGGCTGTGAGACTCATTGGAGTGGAGAGGAAGCTTACCTGGACTTACCTGGTGTCGACATGTGTCATCTGCTGCTGGTCTCCACGAAGGTGAGGAAATGCCATGCCATCCTCTGTATCTTATTGCTGACAGGGAAAAAGGACGGGCGCCCTGTTATGATCTGCGAAGTGATTATGTCAGAGGACGTCAGAGGGGAACATGCATTGCTGAGGTGGAGATAGGGGAGAAGCCCGAAGTAGAGGTGGGAAGGGAGAGTGACATTACATGCATTATTGATTATTATCGGGACTCTCCTCATCCTCTTCTCTGTCTATACTCTCTGCTCTCTCCTTCTCTCATGCTCTTCTTTGATGAGTCGATGCTTCTGAAGCGTGCACATAATCGGGACATGGACTTGTAATTGACTTCGGAGACTTCATGATGTTCGCTGGGTTCAGACTTGTATTGCATTGCTGACTGGCTTCTCAATGAGACTGGGTTAGTTACTCTCTCTCTCTCTCTCTCTCTCTCTCTCTCTCTCTCTCTCTCTCTCTCTCTCTCTCTCTCTTTTCCCCGTACATCACATCTGCCTGTCTATTACACTGCCACACACACACACACACACAGAGAGAGAGAGAGAGAGAGAGAGAGAGAGAGAGAGAGAGAGAGAGAGAGAGAGATCCATAGGATGAGCAAAATGGGAATGAATCTGTCGCTCGAACATCGAAATATGCACTGCCGCATTTTTGGTCTTTGGCAGTGTATATTTCCATGTTGTGGCAGTGGACACTTCCATGTTCGAGGGGAAGATTCAATCCCATTTTGCTCATTTGGAGCTCATTTGGAGAAGTCGGTCTGTGTGTGCGTGTGTAGGAAGACCAAAATCGGAATGAATCTTCAGCCAGAA